ATTATTCTGGAATTCCAACTTTGCTAGTGAAAACTCTTGCCAAATTCTTCCGTGAATGTGCAAACACTAAGGAACTAAGCAAAGCTAAGATCACCTCTAGTAGTTCGTGCCAACCCCTGTAGTCTAGCTCACTACCGTTGTAGAGTTAATCTCCACAGCAACTGCATCTGGCCACCGCCAGAAACTCCCCACCGAACAGCTCCACAGCGACTGCTACTATGGGCGCCACCAATCCCACTATTGCCACCACCGCCGTCACCACTCCTATCGCTACTACGTAGTGAAGTCATAGTGGGCAAGCAAGGAGGCACGCGACCAGTAGGGCAGTACGGAGGGAAGGCAGTAGAAAGAGCAGCAGCAGCAGCAGTAAGAGCAGCAGAGCGGCTCGGTGAGGCTAGGCTGCAGCACCTCCAGCACTCCTAGAATTACCTCCACCAGCAGCAGCAGTAGCACGAGCAGCAGGGCGGATCGGGTTGGGCAGGGCGGCTCAAGCTGGGCGGCGCGGTTCGGCCTGGGCGGCGCGGGCAGCAGGGCGCGTGCTGTGCAGGGCAGTAGGGCGCGTTGTGCGGGCTGCAGCAGGGTACGACGCGCGGGGCAGCAGGCCGCGGCGCGCGGGCTGCAGCAAGGCGCGACGCGCGGGGCAGCAGGACGCGATGCGTGGGCTGCAGCAGAGCGCGACGCACGGGCTGCCGTAGGGCGCGACGCGTAGGGCAGCAGGGCGCGACGTGCGGGCGGCAGCAGTGGGCGGCACGCGAAGCAGTAGGGCGCTACGCGCGGGCTATAGTAGAGCGTGATGCGCGGGGCAGCAGAGCGCGACGCACGGGCTGTCGTAGGGCGCGATGCGCAGGGCAGCAAAGCGCAACGTGCGGGCTGCAGCAGAGCGCGACGCGCGGAGTAGTAGTGTGCGACGCGCGGGCTGCAGCAGGACGCGGGGCAGGGCAGGGCGTGCGCGGGGCAGCACGACGCGGGGCAGGGCAGGGCGTGCGCGGGGCAGCGCGACGCGGGGCAGGGCAGGGTGTGCGCGGGGCAGCGCGACGCGGGGCAAGGCAGGGCGTGCGCGAGGCAGCGGAACGCGAGGCAGGGCAGGGCATGGCGCGCGCTGACGGCGCAGTGCAAGGCAGGGCATAGGGTAACGTGGTAACTGCAGTCGGTCACTAGGTTATGGTGGGCCCGAAAAAAAACGGTCCTACGGGCCTACTGCTCTGAAACCATGTCAGAAATTAACAAGTAGGAATGAATGCATTGATCAGAAATGTGGTACAAGTACTAACCCTAATTGGGTTGTACCCCATATAGGCTACCCCACTACAGCTTACACAACATAAGCAGCACTATAGTTTGACAGGGAGGTCTGTACCTTTGCGAACTACTTGAAGAAACAAAGCTGGCCCACAGCTGATTATTTGACCAAGAAACTCGGAAAGCAGAAGTTTCAGTATTACATGCTGCTGACTGGACAAGGCCACGTCACCAGCAATGAAAGCAACAACACTCCAGAAGCGAAGGGGAGTGTTGGAAACACATAATCGGGTTTCTGATGTGTCGAGCACTATAACAAGAACGAAGCAGACTCACAGCGAAGCAACACCGAATCAACCAAGCTACAGCGAAGCGGTTGGCAAAAGGGACAAGAGCAAGAATTTGAAGCGAAGGTCAAAGGTCACTGACCTTTGACTTTACAAAACAGCACGACAGCGATGACAAATAACTTACACGCTATTGAGCAGCATCAAACCGCATCAGCAGTTACAATTGCAGTTAGTGAAACCTTTCGCATTCCATGTCGTCATATATAAGCCATGTATGTCTATGCTATAATCAACTTAACTTGTTTTCACACTTAAGTGCAAGGTGGTTCAATCAACTCCATTAAAGATGCTTCCGCTAATACATTATCAGCCTGAGCCTTAGTCATTGAAACGATCCCAAGGGATTTCTCTGCCCAACAGTTTCCTTGCTGCATCAGCAAGCTTCACAGGTGGAACATGCATTTGGGGGCTTCAAGTCCCAAATTGTAGAGAAAGTTGAAGTTTTTGCAATGAGTGCAGTTTTGACCATTCAGGTTGCATCGCCCAGACAGTAACCAGGTTTTCTTTCCCTGAGTGGCACGCAATTTGGGCATTGAGCTTTAAAGCTGTTAGAAGCAGAGAGCCTGAGATATACTAGTGTGTTATTTCACATGATTTAGGTGAATGTGGTTTGCACAACGACAACTATAGTTGACCGGTTTAGAATACATGTGCTGTGATGATCACAACGCGTAAAGTATTGCAGAATAACCGCATTTCTTGCCTCCTCGGGTGGGGCAGAGGGATGTGGCTGTTCCACGCGGCTACAGTTGCATATCACGTGGACGCAATCGCTTGTGACGATGAGCTGCATTCAAGGTCAAGGCAACGGTGCGGATGATTGGCTGTCGGGTCGACCTTACCTCATTAATATCCAGCAAGGTTGGAGTGCTTCGGTTCGGGCGGGGCGGGAGGAAATATCGAACGTACCTTCTTAGCAACTCTCTCTCTTGGTCTGTATTTCTCTTCGGGCTAATCTTGGCTTTGGGACATCCGGGCTTTGGGACTTCCCGAATTTATTTTCCGAGGCGCGGGTTTTCCGACTCGAGCTTCGGGACTTCCGCTTCGGGTGTTAGCGAGCTTCAGCGAACGTTGCAAACGAAAATACTTTCTCCCCAGATTTTTTTTCGCGTAGCCGGAGTGCGACATTTCTGAGGCTACGACAACATTCACACTCAAATATTGATGCAACATTGCACATTTCAGCCTCGTCCACAATCGGAATCGCTCGCCAGCTTGCTCTGACGATCGCATATTTCAACGACGAGAGTTGCGATTTCAGGTAGCCAGCTAGATATTTGACTTGAGAAATCGTTAACAATGTCGGCTCGTTGACCCCAGGTGCTGCATTGCACCTCGGGTCTTCCCAAGATTTGGGATGACCCAAACACCGGGGTCCCGGATCCAGGAATACGCCCTTCGTTTATTTACAGCATGAGGGCGTGAATGTGTGGCGGCGGAGAAAACCCACCATATTTGACAACCCACCATATTTCACAGAGTCGAAGCAAAGATGCCAAATCGACAGACTGCCTGATGTTTCCGATTTAGGCTAGGGCGGGTCCGAAGTGAAGTCGACATCCTTTGACATCCGATGTCGGCAAATCCTGACGGTTGGAACTTTCGATCCGAGGGTTGACATTTACCGACATCCATCGACATCCATTCGACGCTTCACTTCGGACACGCTCTTATCGAACTCATCGTCGCTTCTGCAGCGCGCACCCTCATCATTGCTCAGTCTCTCCTCTTGGGTTTGGGAGACCAGGCCTGTGTTGTAAATGAAGGGTTGTCCCGGCGAGGCTGACAGAGGACCTTCGTTTGCCTGCATCTGTGGCGGAACGACACTGCATGGCGAAGAAGGTCAACGTCACGTGCTGTGCTCCGCGAGGACCACGGAGCGAGTCTGCACGACACCAGGATACTGGCATGATTCGCATCAAAGCACTGATGATGGCAGACATGATGCTCGTTTGAGCCACTCCCAGTTGCCTTGTGTAAAAGGCGCTTAAGCTGTTTTTGCATTCGCATAAATGTCGTCAATTCGCATCTAGCAAAAAAGGATTCGTCAGATGGTTATAAAATAACTGTAACTTATCCGTTGACAGTCTGACTTCAGTCTCTTCAGTTTGACTTCGGTCTGCTCGTTACTTTTGGTTCGGAACCATTGCAGCTTGCGCAACGTGCCTGTAACATGGGTGTAACTGGCTGAGAAAAAAAAACGGGTGCCGAGTTTTCATCGAGTCAGCGCAAATTCGCGTGCATGGGTTGAGCATCATGTATACAGCCCTCTTCCCTCTTCTCTCTGAAAACCTCTTTCTCTTACAGTCTTGACAACTCCTTGCCACCCAACTTTGCCACCCATCCTTCTCCTCGTTCATAACATGTTGCTCGTGCTGTTGTCACGCGTCGCTGAGTGACTGTTTGTGAGTCGCAAATGGGTGCTTTGCGCTGGTCGACGAGCACCGCGGAATTCCCCAGCAGAGTATTATCGCGTTCGAACTTCGAATCGAAACCGATCAAGGACACATCAACTGCTCACGCCTCGCCCGCCCCGACCCTGGGACCATCACAGCCTCCCAAAACCAAACTTCGCGTATTCAAGAGACCGTGAAAGGCCATAACATGCCCAGCGATAATCCGTGATTCGTGAAACCCTAGAGACCTTCAGATTTCCAGCTCGGCGTCTGCTCTTAGACGTTCTTGCCGCACTGCTCGTTCTTGGGTGGCTATCTGGAGTCGCCCATGCCGCATTCGTCGCCGGAAACGGCGACCAGTTCGCCGCCGTCGCAATCGTCGTCGCTCGCCATGAAGCCCTGGTCTCCCGGGGTGAGCGCCTCGCCTCACCCCCCCTGTCTGTAGTCCTTCTCTTGACACCTACTAGCTTCTAACATTCGCCCGTCTCTCACGGAGAGTCCATCCTCGGCAATAGGCCATGTGAAATGAGCCGGGTTGGGCAGCATATTGGTCCTGGTCGCGCCGAATTTCACTAGGCTCGGAGCCTCATCGTGGGAACCCCTGGTTCTTGCACCGAGTGTAACAACCTGCTCAGACAACCGCAGTCGCATTCTGTTACTAACATCATGCCTATCCGCGTTTCCGCGTCTTTGCTCGTCTCGTCATGATGGCAGGAGGACGCCGTTCTGTTGCAACATGCGCTGCATTACGGCACGAAGCAGTGGGGAGAGCTGGAGCGGAGCGGTCAGCTCAAGAGGAACAATAAATCCTGCTGTAACCGTTACATCTTCCTCCGCAGGTAACTCGCACCCCAACATTCTGTTCAAACTTTAGCATTTCAAGATTACCAAACGAATTGGTTTTTAAACTCCTCTTCTCGGACCGTGTCTTTGTAACAGGAGGTCCATTCAAACCTTTCAGCAGAACCTTTTGAGGAAGCACCTGGGAGGCGTCGTGCGCACTCTACGCGTTGATATGGACGGCCACAGTGACTGCCAACAGCAGCAGCGGCAGGGCGCGGTTTCACCTGAGTCGCAGTCGCCCGCTCTTTCTTTCGGCGGGCTGTCGTTTGATGAGTGCAGGAGCGTGTTCCTCTCACCCAACGCCCGCAGCTCAACTGACATGCACGTGCCATCTCTCTGGATCCCTCCCTCCGCCTCCCACGCTGCCGTCCTCACTGCTGCTGCTGCCGCCAATGCTCCCTTCTCCATATTATCTTTCTCCGCTGCCACTTCTCCCTCCAAAGTTGCTGCTGTCCCAAATGCCACTCCTGGTTCCAATGCTGCTGTTCTCCCCAACAACGCAATGGTGACCAACACAGCGACGTATGCGGCCAGTTCTGCTGCGCTCAGCCTGCCGATGAAGAGAGCGCGGGAGGAGTTTAGCGCTCTCACGATGGACCCGCCCCTCCTCGTGGATGCATCTCGGGAGGAGCTTGGCCTGCCTCGTCGTGTGGCGCAGCGGCCTCAGTCGTTTGAGGAGCTGCTTCAGCTGCATGGAGAGAGGTGCCACCAGCAGCGAGCCCTGTGGCCGGGCGTGGGGTTGGAGAGAGCCTGGTTGGGCCATCTGCTGCTGCAGGAGCGCTACCAGCAGCAAGGGGAGACGAGTGCAGTGCAGCGGGTGCTGTGGCCGCGCGTTGGTTCTGAAGGTGCTCTTCCAGATGATGTGTTGCTGGGATTCAGCAACGACGACCCCGCCTTCATCCAGCGCTCTGCTCTGTCTGCTCCTCCGCCCACCCAGCCACACGCAGCGCTGCCAGCGCCAATGCCCTCCCAACTCGCTGCCGGGCCTTATTCTGCTCCGTGCATTGATGATTCCAAGCCCTGCATTGGCGATTCCAAGCCCTGCTGTGGGGATGTGGCTCCGTGCGTTGAAGATGCGCCCCCTGCTGACGCCCGTGCTGCTGTACAGCAGCTGGCCCAGTCCGTCGACTCCTGCACCCAGGAGCACGGCAACAGCTACGCGCATGACAGCAAAAGCGATGTGCATGCACACGGCAGCAGTAACCACGACATCCCAGTGCAGGGCAACAGCAATGTGCCCTACGGCAGGAGCGAGAGCCTCTTTCTCGACGTGCCCGTCTCCCACCTGTGCCTCGCTGAGCCTGCCTCCACGCCCCTGACAGGTGAGAGCCCGGCACCCCCAGGGGGTGGGGTGGCTCTGCCGGAGTGGGCGGTGGAGCAGGGTGGGACCCACGAGGGAGGTGTTCAATCACACAGGGATCATCGGCAGCTCCTGGGCGGTCATCACCGGCAACAACTGAGCAGTCACCAGTTGCAGCATCTGAGCGGTTACCAGCATTGCGTACAGCTTGCATGTGTTCCCTCGTTGTCATCACACCAGCCCCTGCCACTGCCACTGCCACTGTCACAGGCACAGGCACAGGCACAGGCACAGGCAGAGGCAGAGGCAGAGGCACAGGCACAAGCACAGGCACAGGCACAGGCACAGGCACTGATGCGGCCATTGTCCCAAGTGCATGTGCTTTCAGGCTTTGGCAATAGCAGCCCTCAGCATTTAAATGACACACTCTCACACCCAAGGGCCCCACACATGCCTCCTCCTGCCCTGCCGCACTCGACGCCTAGCTCCATCTTGCCACAGCCTCATGTGATTGCCCTGCCGACCCCCGTGAAGCCAGCGGTGGGCGACGTTGGTGATGCCCTGGGAGTTGAATCTGCTTCCTGGGAGAGCTCCTTCCCTCCCGGGCTCAACTCAGATGTGCCTTCTGCAAGCAGTCTGCTTGGGCTCGGAGAAACAGCTGATTTGAAGGTGGAGGATGGCTGGAGAATGGACATGCCTGGTGTCAACTCTGTGTGTGATGAACCATACAGCTTTCCAAATACGGCCATGCTTTCTCATGGGATATACCCAACACAGTTTATACTCCCCCAGGTGCTGTCGTATCCACATACACTGCCCCAAGTTCACCGGGGCCATTCTGGCCAAGCTCCTGAGGTGGCACTGGAATTTGCCAATGCGATGCTGCTCAGCTTTCATACCAAATACTTGGAAAAAAAATGATTCTAACTTGTATTGTGTTGTGCGATTTGTAAAAATGCGTGTTGATATGTGATTTGTAAAAAATTGTGCAATGATATTTTAGGACTAGATATAGCGGTCTTCTCGATGCATGCTATTTGATGTTCGTTTTTCCTGGACACCCACACCGTCACACCCCACCGTAATGATGACATGCTGGAACTGTAGTCGTAACCCTAGTTCGTCGTTCCTCAGATGCTTCTCTTCAACCGTTCGCCATACAAGTGTTCCGGGTTAGAGGCCCTTGTTGAGAGAGTCCCTTTTCCCCCCTGAGTCGCCTAGGGTTGGCCCGACCCCTATAGTTCCATCGTAGAATTTTCCGATGTCGCCTAGGGTTGGCCTGACCCCTATAGTCCCGTTTTTGGCGGGAAATTTTGCAGCTTGACCGAATCATTGCACGAATCAGCTCCGCAGCCAATCAGAGGCTCCAGATCAAACGAGCCCAACATTCAAAGAAAACGATGAAGAGATCATCGATTCGATATTTTAACCTTTTAATTGTAAGTAATTGTTTCTCTTGACCGCGACTACTTCTCAATCCTGTCGCGCTGTCTCCAGGGCGATCGACGATGACCTCATTTATCTCGCTTACAGGGTAAAAACGAGGTTTTTGTGTTACTATTCGATCCCAAAACCATAGCTGGATTTGTTTTGTTTTGACCGTTAGTCATGCGACATTGATAAGCGTGGAAAACCGTGCGACTGGAAGTTGAAGCAAGCGCGGTCCAAATCTACGTAAATGCCAGACTCCAGAAACTAGTAGCAAAACAACCACTCTTCATGCAATTTTCCTGAACGGGAAGTATCGCGTTTTGCCTGGGGTTTGAAGGGTTTGCCACATAGTCCGCGCGCGGCGATGTTGATCCGTCGGACTATAAACGAGAACATCTGTAGCCTGCCCATCGCCACAGCCCGACACTGCAATCGCATTACCATGAGGTGTAGGCCTTCTTAATCTATGGCGTCACCGCAACGCATGGCCGTATTTCACGGCGTGGCATCTCGCTCGTGCTGCGCCGTTAAAGCCGTGGCGCTGTGTGGAGCCAAACTTGCCTATGCTCGGCGCAGCGTCTGTGGGTATCCCATCACGAGAAGAAATGGCGGTGGCGCCGACGGTGATTTTTTTTGGAAGCGCGGAAGACGCGGCGTAGCGACGCGCTGCACGCTCGTGTCGGGTTCTGCCGACTCGAATCCACTAGATTTGGAGTCGGCGAGAGACACCCCGCTGGGCCGCGCGGGTGGCGACGGAACACAAGATCTGCCATCGCCGTCGCCGTCGCCGCCGCCGCCGCTGCAGTCGGAATCGATTCTTTTCATCGGCAAGGTCTGGTGAGCCTGTGTTTCGGAAAATATAACGCTGAGATCCTTGATTATCTCTTCGCTCAACTTCGCCAGCTTTCTTTCCGAGGTCCGCTTTTGCTTTTGCTCTCCCCGCTCATCCCCTCACCGCCTCACCCGTCCTTTCCCCTGATTGCGCCGGTTTCATTGTCGCACTTTCGTTCCTTTTGCCTTTCTCTCGACTCCTCCCCGCTTCCTCGCGTGTCTTTCCCCCCCCCCCCCCCCCCCCTTCCCGTCTCTCCTCCCGCTCCCTTACCGCCTCCCTCTCTCCACTCCGCGATGCCTGCAGGCCGGAGCATGGCAGCACGGCAGCGGGGTGCGCACGTCGCAACTACTGCGCGTCCTGGCGGGGGAAACCGGCGGAGGTGGGGGCAGCGCGGGTGAGGGGAGCGCGAATCGACTGCACTTCATGAGGTGATGCGGGCGGAGGGGGGGAGGACGGGGCGAGGCGGGGTGGGATGGGGCGAGGCGGGGTGGGATGGGGCGAGGCGGGGTGGGATGGGGCGTGGCGGAGTTGAGGGGATTGTAAGAGATTTGCGTTCGTGCTTGCTGTTGGCGTTCCTCTCCACCTTTCCCCACTCGCCCCTCGCCCCTTCCTCCCCCCCTCCCCCCCCCCCCCCCGTCTCTCGCCCACCGTCCTTGTTACTCTACATCTTTTCTGCTGCTCTCTCGCACCAGCGTTTCTGTCCCTGCTCTCTCTGTTCCGCGCTCTGATTTTTTTTGGAATTTGCTCAAATTAACGCCCTCTCTGCTTCATCTGCTCTTTCTCCCTTCTCCACCTCTTTCCCCTCTCTACTCTTTCTCCCGTCTCTGCTCTCTCTCCTCTTTCCCCTCTCTCTCCTCTCTGCTCTCTCTGGTCTGTCGCCTCTCTCTCTCCGCTCTCTGCTCCCTCTCCTCTCCTCTCCTCTCCCCTCCTCTCTCCCCTCTCTCCCATCTCTCCCCTCCCTGCGCTTTCTGCCCCCTTACCCGCGCTGTGCCCCCGCCTTGCCGCAGCCCGGCGAGGAGAAACGTGTATTCGCAGGAGCTGGAGGCAGCAGGCATTGCCACGTACCAGTGTGCGCCCAACAGGTGATATTTCAGGTGCCTCGATGGGGGCAGCAGGCATTGCCACGTACCAGTGTGCGCCCAACAGGTGATATTTCAGGTGCCTCGATGGGGGCAGCAGGCATTGCCACGTACCAGTGTGCGCCCAACAGGTGATATTTCAGGTGCCTCGATGGGGGCAGCAGGCATTGCCACGTACCAGTGTGCGCCCAACAGGTGATATTTCAGGTGCCTCGATGGGGGCAGCAGGCATTGCCACGTACCAGTGTGCGCCCAACAGGTGATATTTCAGGTGCCTCGATGGGGGCAGCAGGCATTGCCACGTACCTGTGTGCGCCCAACAGGTGAGATAGCTACCAGCCTTGTCCCGCCATGTTGTCGCGCGTACCATATGCACCATCGCATCTCGTGTCTCTCGCATCTCGTGTCTCTCGCCTCTCACCTCTCTTCTCCTCGTCTCTGCACATCTGTCTCTCGTCCCTATAACCCTCCACTCCGTTCCTCTCCATACATTCGTGCTTGCCAACCCTCTTCCCTCTCCACGCCTTCCCCCCTCCTTCCACTCCCGCTCTCCCCGTCCCGCACGTCTTGCTCCCCTTTTCTCTCCTTCCCCTCGTTCGTTCCCCCTTCCCCCTCCGCGCTCCCCCTCCGTGGCAGGGCGGCGGATTTCCACGCGGTGCTGGACGCCGTGCACCCCACCATTGCCGTCTTTGACAGGTCAGCAACTGTCGCTACGCCACGTCAGTGTTCGTGGTCGACAGGCTAACAGGACAGGAGCGGGGGGGGAGAGGGGGGGAGGGGAGGTTGGGGGGGGGAGGGAGTGGGGAAGGGGTGTGGGGTGGGGAGGGTGGAGTTGAAGGGGGAGGGTGGAGGGGAAACTTAGGAGACAGGGTTTGATTGGGTCGGCTAAGGGGAGTGGCTGGCAGCACTTGCAGTGGCCGTCGCACCTGTGCCACCTGTGGCCCTGTCACACCTGTGGCCCTGTCACGCGCTTCCCTCACTCCTGCTATCGTTTTCCGCGTTCCCTCCGATCCCCCCTTGCCCCGCTGCAATCGTCTCTTTCCTGCTCCACCTTTGCTCGCTTTCGATCTGCTTCCGCTCCCTCTCCCATCCATCACCCCTCCTCTAATATCCTTTCCTTCTACCCCCTCCCCCTCCCCCTCCCCCTCCCCCGCTCTCCCCCTCCCCCGCTCTCCGATTCCCCCTTGCCCCCTTGTAATCGCCTCTTTCCTGCTCCGCCTTCGTTCCCTTCTGACCTTTTTTCACTCCCTCTCCCATCCTTCACCCCAATATAATCTTCTTTACTTTTACCCCACTCAACCTCCCCCTCCCCCTTCCCTCCCCCTATCCCACCCGCACCCCCCCCGCCCCCCTCCCGCTCTCCCCTTCCCCCTCCCCCCCTCCTCTCCCGCTCCCACCCCCCTTTCCCCTTTCACCTCCCCTCCCCCCTCTCCCCCTGCATGCGCCCAGGTTCACGAGCGAGGAGGCCTTTTCCTTCCGCGTGAGGCAGCGCTGCCCCGCCTGTCTGCTCGTGCTCGACACACAGGACCTGCACTTCCTCCGGGTGGGTAACGTGCGGTGCCATTCGGTGCTGTGGGGTGCCATGCGGTGCTGTGGGGTGCCATGCGGTGACATGCGGTGACATGGGGTGACATGGGTTGACATCGGGCGCCCTGGGGTGCCCTGGGGTGCCCTGGGGTGCCATGGGGTGACATGGGGTCTCATCCCATGCTTTTACCTCTCCTCTTGCCCCATCCCATTCCTCCCATCCTATCCCATTCCCCATCCCTTTTCCTCCTCTTTCCTCCCATCCCACTGCATCCCATCCCATCCCACCCCATCCCACCCCATCCCTTCCCATCCCATCCCATCCCACCCCCTCCCATCCCATCCCACCCCCTCCCATCACATCCCCTCTCCTCCCCGGGCAGGCAGGCGGGGCGGCAGCAGGTGGTATCTGAGGGGGGCTCTATCAGGGGCGCGCTACACCACGTACCCGATACAAGCAGCAGGGAGCTGCTGCGCGAACTGGCATCCATGCACCGCTGTGACCTCACTCTGGTCCGTGGCCCCTCTTCCCCTCCATCTGCCCCCCCACTCTTCCCCCGCCCTTCTTGCCCCTCCCCTCTACCTCCACCCCTTGCCCCCACCCCTCTGCCCCACCCTGCCCCCTGCCTCCACAATCTGCCCCAACCCCCACCTTTTGAACTCGTTCCAGCGTATTTTTCTGGTTTGATTTTCTTCTGGTTGCTTGCTGGTTCGTTATACAGATTTAGATCCGCGTGGGTTCCAATCCCTATCCTCCCGTTCGCTGTGCACACGCACACATGCGCACATGCGCTAGTTCACTGCGCCTCACCCACCTTTTTAACCCCCTCTTTCTCTCCTTCCCTATCCTCCCGTCCGCCCACCCGCCTTCCCTCCCTCCCTCCCTCCCTCCCTCCCTCCCTCCCTCCCTCCCTCCCTCCCTCCCTCCCTCCCTCCCTCCCCCCCTCCCTCCCTCCCTCCCCTCGTCTCTCACTCGCCCCCTTCAGCTGTGTTCACAGGCGGAGCTCGCTGTCCTCAAGCGCTGCTACGCCTTCCCGCCCCACAAGCTTGCCCTCGCCTCCTTCTTCTATGATTCACCCGAGACAGTGCCCGGTGGGGCAGTGGGAGGTGGGGCAGTGGGAGGTGGGGCGGACAGGTGAGGCAGTGAGGAGGGTTGACACATTGAGGGTTGACACATTGAGGGGTGAGGCGGTGAGGGGTGAGGCAGTGAGGGGTGAGGCAGTGAGGGGTGAGGCAGTGAGGGGTGAGGCAGTGAGGGGTGAGGCAGTGAGGGGTGAGGCGGTGAGGGGTGAGGCAATGAGGGGTGAGGCGGTGAGGGGTGAGGCAGTGAGGGGTGAGGCGGTGAGGGGTGAGGCAGTGAGGGGTGAGGCGGTGAGGGGTGAGGCAGTGAGGGGTGAGGCAGTGAGGGGTGAGGCAGTGAGGGGTGAGGCAGTGCCTGTCGAGGAATCAACAAGGTGGGTTTAAATGTATCAGATGCCCCTGCAATGCCTGCGCCTGCAATGGCTAATGGCTGCGCCTGCAAATGCCCGCGCGTGCAACCTAGCCAATGTACACCTATAAACGTATCATTCGCAACTCTTGGTACCCTCTTACTTGATGGTTCTGAGCTTCACAGGGCGCATGCAAGGCGCTGTTGTGCTGTTGCTCGTGAGAATGCTCAGAAGCGACCCTTGTTTGTTCCACCCACTCACCTCTTATTTCCGCCTCCCCCCTCTCCCCCCCTTGTCGCCACCACATGCAGCCATCCTCCCAGCTCTTCCTCTGTGTGCCACCCCGCCCCACCCCGCCCCATCCGAGCCTAGGATCGCAGGTTCCACCTCCCCCTGTGCCGCCCCCACACCGTCCCCCTGGGAGCAGCGGCAGCACTGTGTCGTGCTGGGCACGTTCCGCCACGCGCCCAACGTGGACGCTGTCTCCTGGCTCGCCTCCCATGTCTGGCCTCTCATTCGCGCCCAGGTCCGCCCATTCGCGCCCAGGTCCGCCCATTCGCGCCTAGGTCCGCCCATTCGCGCCTAGGTCCGCCCGTTCGCGCCTAGGTCCGCCCATGTCTCACTCGCTCACTCTGTCACTCTGTGCGCGGCTCCCTGTTTCCTCCTCTGCGCGCTCTCCTCTCACCCTTTCCCCACTTGACCACTACTCCTGTCGTGCCGTCGTCCCCCCCTTCCCTTTTTTCCCACCCTGCCATATACCTCTCTCTCCCCAAACCCCACCACCCCCCCCCCTCCTCTACCCCCCTCATGATATGCGCAGCTACCAATGGCAGAGTGCCACGTGTACGGCTCCTACGTCACAGCAACCATCTCGTCCCTGCACGACCCCTCCTCTGGCTTCATCATTCGCGGCCACGCCCCCTCCCTTCACACACTCGCCTCCTACCGAGGTCAGCAACACCCCCTCCTTTCCCCTCCCTCCCCATCCCTCTGTTATCGCTTTGCACCCATCCATATCTCACCATTCTCACCTCAACTCTTCAGCCACCTGCATGGCCGTGCTCAATCCATATTCCCCCCTGTCTTCCCCCGCCCCTTCCCTCCCCCTTCCCTCCCCTCCCCTCCCCTCCCCGTCAATTCTCTCCCCTCCGCTCCCCTCCCCTTTTCCCCCTGTCCCCTCCCCCATCCCCTCCTTCCCCTGCACAGTGCTGCTGGCGCCGCTGCGCTACGGGGCGGGCATAAAGGGCAAGGTCCTCGACAGCTGGCGCCACGGCACGCCCGTCGTCACCACCCCCATCGGCGCCGAGGGCATGGGCGGTGGGGGGGGAGGGGAAGTGGGGGAAGAGCCAGGGGAGGGGGACAAGGGGATGACAGAGGGGGTGGGAGAAGGGGGTGGGGGGAAGCAGGGGGGCGGGCCTCAGCAGTGGGAGAGGGGGCAGCAGTGGGGGGGGCTGTGTGGGGCGGGGGATGCGGAGGCGTTTGCAGCGGATGCGATGCGGCTGTACAGCGACCCTCACCTCTGGACCACTTGTCAATCCGCGGTGCGCTGCCTCCCTTTGCACTGCATTCCTTGCACTGCCTGCCTCACACTGCCTCCCTTGCGTTCCCCTCGTCCTGCACTCGCCACTCTCCCCTCACCTCACTACACCGCAGGGCTGCCTAGGCCCCCATCCATTCCACAGCTCCCTGCCCACCTCCTACCTGTCTGTCCTCTCGTTTCTGTGCCTGCTGTGACCTTCCAAGGCTGTTGATGCGATTGCTCAATGCTGTGGTTCGGACCTTTCGACTCTGTTCATTTTGTCGTGCGTTCACTCACCATGAACGACTGTTTCTCAAGCTTTCACGCCCTGTGTGTGCCATGCTCCACTCCCTCGCGTGCGCCTCCCACAGGGCCGCACCATCCTCCACCAGCAGTTTGGCATGCTCTCCAACGCAGCCGCGCTGCTTGCCGCTCTGTCTGCTGCCAAGAAAAACATGCGTGATAACAGAATGCATGACTATACTGGGGTGAGTGCGAATCTGAATGTATTTCATGTTGACCAACCACAGGTTACTGTAGCTAACCAGTGTGCAAACTAGCACACTATGCGAACAGGCTGGCAGTTATGTCGGTTGTTTGTGACAACAACCAAAATCAGCCATATTATCCCCAGTATGTTATTCTCTCTGACCCTTATTTTCCTTCCCAATCTGCATTGCACTGCAGGTCATCTTGTGGCATGACAGCAACAGGGCGACCGAGTATTTTTCGCGGTGGATTGAGCTCAAAGAAATGGGTGCAAGATCACCACAGTGAATTGCCAGGCCGCCTAATTGTAGTTGCCGTGGTTTGGAAATTCCTGTGACAGTGATGGCGACACCTAGCACTACCATTTAGGCGTATTCCTACAGCCTCCTATTAAGGCCACCTATCAAGATTGTACTTTTGCCTGGGAAAAGTAGCAAGAGGATTTGGATTTAGGGGATTTTTCAGTGTGAGCTTGATAGGAGGTCAGATTGATAGGAGGATAGGAACACGCCCTCAGCAATAAGATGGCTGGGGTAATGTTTGCATGCACCAGCTCGGCTAATTCCCCACAGAAGAAACATGGCGTGAAAACACACTACAGTTGAGATGTCATTATTTTGGACTACATGAGCGTTTTCCCTTCCATTGGAGACTCGTAAGCCATGTTGGCGGCCACACTGTTCAGAAAATCCCAGCACTTGAAGAATAACGCATCACACCAAAAACGAGGAAATGAAATATTCGGGTGCTCAGATATTCCTTCAGGGTGAAAATCTTTGTGGCTGTCGTTCAATCTTGTACAATCTCAGAAAGAACGTTCTGCTGTCAACTCCCATAGTTCAGGAGACTATCACATGAGATGGGGTCGGTCAAGTTTGTTGGTGAATTTTGGCCACAACACCTTCCACGGTTGTTGGGGTCCCACATCATTAAGCCGTGGCAGCTTTGTGATGACAGCAACGCAGCGCGCATATCTTCTGTATGCACGGGGTGGCACATGGGTTTGTGGTTGAAATGATGCGACGCACATGGTACCGTCTCATCTCCCACGAATCGCACGCAAGTCGGATCTCTCGTGCGGAGGGTGTAGTGGTTACTTTCAGTCCACAGAAGAATTTTCACCCAATAAATCGGACTCTGAAACGCATAAAACTCTGTGAAACGTACAAAACCTGAGGTAATTGTGAAGGGAGTGAAGGCCCCCCCGCCAGCTGTCAGCAGTCACTAGCAGCACGGGACGGGAACAGAGCAGAAATGGAAGAAAGCAGAGCAGACCAGCATAAAGCAGAGCAGGACACAAGTTGGGCTGCTCTCAGGAAAACGGAACCCAACAGAACGGGACGAGAGCGTTAGAAAGCAGAAGAAAATGCATCTCGAGCTGACTCGCAACTGAGCTTGTTCCTTGCTCGAAAGCGCTATGGGGCATGCTGTTGTGGACCATGGCCCACCCACACTTATTTCATGTGCGTCTACATTCCGTGCAAAGACACTGTGAAGTGAAGGGGAAAGCCGGATGCGTTTGGTGCACGGGAAAGGTAAACTAGCGGCAGCATTGCACAGTAAATCGGGCGAATAGCGCCGACCCGTGCGTACTGTATCCCCCGCACGTCGGCTCCGCGCAAAATGACAAAGTCGTCTCATTGCCCGTGGCCCACTGCCATCCTCGCCAGCAGGAGCCACCCCGTCCCACCCGCCATCGTCCGGCACGGACCGCTCCTGCCGTGTCGCCTAGCATCATGCGGACGATGGTTGCGCGGGACCTCCAGGCAGCCGTGCGACGCTCGCGTCGGCCGCTGGACCCCAGCCTGCGCGCTGTCTGAATGCGCCGGTCGTCACGCCCCCCTCCGCATGCAGCTCAGCCTTGGCGAGTCCTGAAACTCGCCGTTGCTCGGCACAGCCACGGGATGGACGCAGCGCAGCGCAGATGTGCGCGAGGGGAGAAAGACATCATAGAGGTCCCACGCCTTGCCACTCCACAGTACTGTATTCACTACTTGCTCCTTGCAGCTTCCCGCTCGCACCTCGTCTACAATTAGTGCCAGAGACCGCAATACCTTAGTGATTTTGCAACCTCTCCCTTAGCAAAACAACTGCTCAATTCGGGAACAACGCTCGTGTGAAACGGAGCCTTCCGGCCTAGCATTGCGGTAGTCCCGCCGAATTCACCCGCTTCCACCCGACGCGCCGCCCTCAGCCCCGCTCGTTGTTTAGCTGCTGCACGTAGCCCGCGTCGCGGATCACATTCGCGAAAAGGCCCACCTTCACGATGCGAGCGTCGCACGTTCGCGACATTCTGCCGAGATCGCACGCCGGTGTCGCCGCAATGGAGGTAGTCGCGGAGAGCCCCTGCCCCTATACCGCAGCAGCGGACGTCGGTCTCCGTGCGCGCGCGCCGCAGCTCCGCCAGCGGGCACCCGCGGAAGCACCAGCCGCGGGCTCCGAGCCACGCCCCGCCCGGCCGGGCGCTGGCAGGAGAGCGGCGAATGCGACCCGCTCGCGGCAATACTTGGCGCGATGGACCCCCGAGGTGAGCTCTCCGCGCCCCTCCGTCTCCTCCCCTTCTCATCGTCTTGTCAGTTCTCTCCGCCGCGCTACCAGGGATGGTTGTCTCAATTGTTCCCGCCCCCCCCCACCTTCGTTGGCGCGTGCAGGAGGACGCGATTCTGTTGGAGCACGTGATGGCGCACGGCACGGCGGAGTGGGGGCAGCTCAGGGCGAGCGGCCGGCTGCCGCTGCGCGACAACAAGGCGTGCTGCAACCGCTTCCTGCTGCTCAAGAGGTATGCCACATTTGCTTCCCGCTGCTCAAGAGGTATGCTGATGGTGATGGTGAGCAGAGTTGTCGTCCTATCGTGCTTATAATAGGCACTCTGTCGTGTGGTCGATGGCTGAGATCTCTCCGTGGCCCGCTCACCCTTGTCTTCTCCCTCCTTGCCCTCCACCTTCCCCTTGCGTGTGCATCCAGGAAGTTCCTCCAACTCGACGACCACCAGCAGCAGGAGCCGCATTACCAGCCGCATTACGAGCAGCCCCGCCAGCAGCACGACACCTCCCCCTGGCCCCGCCGCCAGCATGATGCGCACCCCGCCAACCTCCCCTGCTGCCTCCAACCGGCTGACACCGCACTGCACCTGATGGCCACTGCGCCACACGCCTACCCACAGGCGGCACAGGCAAGGCAGCACTCGGCGGCACGGCACAGCGGGTGGAAGGGCGAGTGGAGGGGGAGCCTTGAAGGGGTTGCGTGGTGGGAGGGGGTGGTGGACCCGCGCCTGGGAAGCACTCTCACGGTCGCACATGCGTGGGATGGCGCAGTGGCGTGCGGACGTGTTAGTGAGTCGGTGTGCACCAAGAGTGCATGGGTTCAAGGCAATGCGGTGCGGCTGCAGCAACAAACGGCCGTGGTGAAGCAGCAGCAGCAGCAGATTCACGCAGGTGGAGTGTGGGCGTGCGTGGAGCAGGCTGTGAAGGCAAGCGCCTCTGCTGCTCCATCAGCATGCTGTGCCGTGCTGCAACCACCCTCTGCCTCGCCTGCACTCCCTACCGCTTCCAGTCGCCTCAGCCACTGTCCTCTTGGTCTGCTGCACCCAGATGCCCCACTCATGCTACCCTCCTCACCTCCCTCAAGCCACTCTGCACCTGCAGCAGACGCTGTTGCTGCTGCTACTGCCACTGCTGCTGCTGACCCATGCCCGCCCCAGCTTCAACTGCCCACCCCACTCTCTGCTTCCTCGTCGCTGCCCTGCCTGCTCCCCGCGCTGCCTCCCCTCCACCCTCTCCCTCTCCCTCTCTCCCGTCCGGACTCTCACCTGCACGCTCCCCAGCCCCTTGCTGCACTCCGTGGCACCACTGCTGCGCCTGCCGCTGCTGGTGCTGCCATTGACGCATGTGTGAGGGCAGGGCCGTCGGACGGGCAGTCTCAGGCGGATATGGACAGGTGGGTTCTGGAGCAGGTGGGGCTCATGGTGGGCGGGCAAGAAGGGACTGCGCCCGGGGGTGGTACGCTGCTGGCAGATGTGAGAGGGGGAGGTGGGGTTGGAGTGGGTGGAGGATTGGGAGAAATGGAAATTGCGGCAGGGGATGGAGGGGGAATGGTCGGTCATGGGGGAAAGAGGACAAGGGTGAGTGGCGGAGGAAAGTGGGATGAGCAGCATGGGGAGGCGTGCATGTGGGAGGGGCCTGGAAGTCACTGTGGAGGGAGGAAGCGGGTTGAGCAGGAAGGGGAGCCAGCGATGCTGAGCCAGGAGGATGGGCATTGGCAGGCTGTTGCCAGTGACGAATCCCGAGCTCATAACCTTGATGACACAAGGGTTCTGAAGAGCCAACTCCTGACTGTGTTGCAGAGTGCCCTTAGTGGTGACGAGATAGATAGTTTCATGAATCAGTATGGTGATGTTTTGTCAGAATGAGGAATGGATGTTCCATTGATGTTGGTTGGGGTACATATAACAAACCCTAACTTCTGTACCCCCTAAGACAAACCTCACTACAGGCTACAACATTTGACACACCCCCATAGCCTAAGTGAGGGGTGTCTAGCAAAAACAAAAAAAGAGTACGGTCACAAGACCAGTCCAAAAGAAAACAAAGCTCAGGGTGGATCACAACGTCACCACACACTCTGAGCACAAGCAACAGTGGCCACAAGGCCAGTCCAAGAGATCACAAGTATATATAGTAAGTGTACAGACGAAGCAGGCAATAAACTCAAGTCTACGCATGACTAGAACCTGTGTCAACAAGGCCTAACTGCACACAACACCTCTGGTGGTCACAAGGCGGAAGCGCCTTGGTGAAGATGTCTGCAGTGTTGGCCTCGGACTCCACAAACTCGAAGCGAGCCTGTCCACGCCTCTGCAACTCTCGCAGAAGAAAGTACCTGACGTGAATGTGCTTCACTCTGCTCTCCAGTCGCGGCTCACGACAGAGGAGGATCGACGCCTTGTTGTCAGTAAACAAGGTCGGTGCAGAGCTCGGCCGCTCACCAAGGTCGGCGAGCAAGAAGGTCAACCACCGCAACTCCTGCGCCGCCATGGCACCAGCGTAAATCTCAGCCTCAGCTGTAGAGGTCGAGACAGAAGAGGAGCGCGTGGAACGCCAGGAAACAGCTCCAGAACCCAGACTGAAACAGTACCCCTGAGTAGACCTGTGAGTCTCAGCGTCGTCAGCGTAAGAGGAGTCACAGTGACCAGTGAGTACGACAGACTGCTGCCCTCCAAGAACTAGCCCCACGCCTGATGTAGTCGCTAGGTACTTCGCCACCCTCACAGCTGCCATCCAGTGAACAGGACGGTGTCTCCCTGGCGCAACAAAGCGCGCAAGGATGCTGAGAGGGAAGGCGAGGTCCGGGCGAGTACAAGTCATCAGGTATATGAGGCAACCCACAAGCTCTGCGTAGGGACCACTAGGCTCAAACGGCTCGTCAGGAAAGGGACCAGTGAGTCTTGTCAGATTATCATAGCTGATGCATGTTTGTAGGCTATAGTGGGGTAGCACATATGGGGTACAGTTTGCTAGGGTTGTATTTGTACCCAACTCTGACTTAGTCAATTCATTCCTCTGCTCATAGTTTCACATGGTATAGAGCTAGGTCCCTCCAGGACCGAATTTTTTTTTTTTTTGGGCCCACCGAAGCGCGCCCCCCGAGGCGCGCCACTGCACTGCAGCAGTGGCGGCCCCGCCACTGCACTGCAGCCGAGCCGCCCAGCAGCAGCCGAGCCGCCCAGCAGCAGCCGAGCCGCCCAGCAGCAGCCGAGCCGCCTAGCAGCAGCCGAGCCGCCCAGCAGCAGCCGAGCCGCCCAGCAGCAGCCGAGCTGCCCAGCAGCAGCCGAGCCGCCCAGCAGCAGCCGAGCCGCCCCGCAGTAGCCGAGCCGCCCCGCAGTAGCCGAGCCGCCCGGTACCTGAGCAGCCCGAGCCGCCTGAGCTGCACGAGCAGCCCGAGCCGCCTGCTGCTGACCTACCCGACTCTCCCATCCCGGTGAGACTTTCAGCTGCTGCTATGGCCACCCCCAATGTTCTCACTTTTGACGCTGAGGGGAGGGCCATTGACTTTGCCGTCTGGATCGAGGATCTGCAGCTGTACTTACTGTGTGATGCGGTAGATGAGGTCTCTCTCTTTGACTTTGTCTCTGGCGCTGTCCCTGCCCCGCCTGCTGATGCTGACTCTGCCGTTCGCTCCAAGTGGGCGACCCGCGATGCTGCTGCACGTCTTGCTGTGCGTCGCCACCTCCCTTCCTCTGAGCGTGCCCACTTTAGTCAGTGCAAGACCGCTCAGGCCTTGTACGACGCTGTAGTTGCGCGCTACTCCTCCCCTTCCTCCGCTACCCTTAGCCGCCTCATGCTACCGTTTCTCTTCCCTGACCTCGCTTCCTTTCCCACTGTCGCTGACCTCGTTACCCACCTCCGCGCTAGTGACACCCGCTACCGCGCTGCCCTTCCTGCTGAGTTCCGCGCTGCGAACCCTCCTCCCATGTACATCACTCTCTACTTTCTCGTCACCCGTCTTCCTGAGTCCCTTCGTGTCGTTAGGGACCAGTTTCTCTCTGTCTGTCCCACCACTCTCACTGTCGACCTCCTTGAGGAGTCCCTGCTAGCGGCTGAGAAGAGTATTGTCGCTGTAGGGGCCTCTCGGGGTGACCCTCGCACCCCCATCTTTGAGGGGTGTGGTCCCTCCCCCCTGCTGCCCTCTGTCGCCTCTGCCGCTGCGGCCGACCTCGTTGGTTTTGAGTCGGTCGGCGCGGCGTCTGCCCCCAGTGGCAGACGCCGCACTGGCAAGGGCAAAGGGGGCAAGGGAGCGGGTGGAGCCAGAGGGGGCGGTGGAGGAGGCGGTGGGGGTGGAGGGGGGAGTGGGGGTGGCGGGGGGGGTGGTGGCGGAAGTGGAGGTAGTAGTGGCGGCGGTGGAGGCGGAGGTGGCGGCGGAGGTGGTAGCGGAGGAGGCGGTGGGAGCGGTGGGAGCGACGGTCCTGGTGGGGGAGGTGGCGGTGGCGACGGGGGTGGCGGTGGAGGCGGGGGTGGCGGTGGAGGAGGGGGTCGGAGTGGCTCGTCCCAGCGGAGCAGCTCTGGGGGTGGTCAGCGCCAGCAGCAGCAGCAGCAGCAGCCACAGCAGCAGCCGCAGCAGCAGCAGCGCTCTCGCACCGTCCCCGGCCCTCAGCAGCTCCGTGAGTGGTACTTGCAGCGTCAGCGCGGTGGTGCGCTTGGTCCCTGCCCCTACGTTCTTCGCACTGGTGACCGTGCAGGGGAGAGGTGTGGAGGCACCCACACAGCCCGTCGCTGCTTTGGCCGCCTGACCGACGCCTGGCGTCAGCAGTTTCCGGAGGCCGCTGAGATCCCCCGCTGGGGAGAGCTGTCTAGGGCTGGTGTAGCTATTTATGATCTTGATTTTGATGCTATTCTCTCTGCTATGTATGCTGTGACTGGTAGTGATGAGGATGACTGTTACCGGTGTTTCCCGCCCGACCCGGGCATTGGTACTGCCGCGTCAGGTACTTGTGCAGCTGCTGCTCTAGGTGCCAGTGCGTCTGTGCTTTCAGGTACTGGTGAGTCCGCCCTCTCAGGTACTGTGTCGGCTTCGGCCTCTCACACCTTCACCCTTGACTCTGGAGCGTCTCGCTCCTTCTTTAGGGACCGCACCACTCTCACGCCGCTGAGTCGGCCGGTTGCGGTGTCCCTGGCGGACCCCTCTGGGGGGCCTGTCCTGTCTCGCTTCTCCACTGTCCTCCCGTGTCCGGCGGCCCCCTCTGGCACCCTGACTGGTCTCTACCTCCCCTCGTTCTCGACGAACTTGGTGAGTGGTGCTGACCTCCAGGATGCAGGTGTCCACCAGTTCACCCCTGCTCGTCAGCGGGTGACCCACTGTACGGAGGCGGATACAGGTCGCCACCTGGCTACGTTTACACGTCGGCCGGGATCGAGCCTGTACACACTGACCACTGCTTCTCCTCCAGGTACTGCGTCTGGTAGAGCCCCTTCGTCTGGTCAGGTGTTTGCTGCAGCGTCCAGGTCTGGTCCTGAGTCTGCCCCTTGTTCGTGTCGTCGTCTGTCTCACGAGACCCTCCTCTGGCACCACCGCCTTGGCCACCCCTCTCTGCTTCGGCTCAGAGGCATGGCCTCGCGGGTCCTTGTGTCTGGTCTTCCCCGGTCCCTCCCTCCCCTTCCTCCGGGCCCTGGCCCTGCCTGTGTCCCCTGTGTCGAGGGGCGCCAGCGTGCTGCCCCTCACTCCTCCCAGTTTCCTCCGACAGAGGCCCCGTTGCAGACGCTTCACATGGACGTGTGGGGCCCAGCCCGCGTCCGTGGACAGGGTCAGGAGCGCTACTTCCTGCTAGTGGTTGACGACTACTCGCGTTACACCACAGTCTTCCCCTTGCGCAGCAAGGGTGAGGTCACTCAGGTGTTGATCGACTGGATCCGCGCAGCTCGTCTTCAGCTTCGGAGAAGCTTTGGCTCTGACTTCCCTGTCTTGCGTCTGCACTCGGACAGAGGCGGAGAGTTCTCCTCGGCCCTCCTGAGTACCTACTGTCGTGTGCGAGGCATCCGTCAGACCTTCACGCTTCCGGACTCACCACAGCAGAATGGGATCGCTGAGCGCCGCATTGGCATGGTCATGGACGTCGCTCGTACGTCCATGATGCATGCGGCTGCTCCCCATTTTCTGTGGCCATTTGCGGTCAGGTACGCTGCGCACCAGATCAACCTCCACCCCAGGGTCTCTCGACCGGAGACCTCCCCAGCTCTGTTGTGGACGGGGAAGGTTGGCGATGCGTCGGCGTTCCGGGTCTGGGGATCTCGGGCGTTTGTTCGCGACCTGTCTGCGGACAAGCTGTCCCCTCGTGCTTCTCCCTGCGTCTTCCTCGGGTTCCCCCCCGACGCCCCTGGGTGGCAGTTTTACCACCCCACCTCTCGACGTGTTCTGTCCTCCCAGGACGTCACGTTCGACGAGTCGGTACCCTACTACCGCCTCTTCCCCTACCGCACTCCGTCCCTCCCCCCACCCCCCCTCTTCTTGGTACCAGGTCCCCCCCCAGTAGTCCCCCTCCCGCCTCAGGGTCCTGCCCCTTCAGGTGTGTCTCAGGTAGACGCGGTCGAGCCTGTCGAGGTCCCTGGTGACTCCGGTGCTGCTGCGGGAGCTGAGCCTGGGGGTGCGGAGTCTGGGGGTGCTGAGCCTGGGGGTGCTGTGCCTGGGGGTGCTTCGTCTCACCGGGAGCCGCTCTCTCCACTAGAGCTGCGTGAGTGGTTTGCCCGGCGCTGGAGGCGTGCCGCTGGTGCTGGTGGTTCTTCGGCTGCGGAGGGCGCTGCTGCCACGCGACCTGGCGGTGCTCGTCCTGTGGGTGCTGGAGCTGCTGGGTCTGAGTGTTCTCCTGGAGCTGGTCCTGCTGAGGACGTTGGCGCTGAGCCTGCGGTTGGTGGTCCGACT